GATATGGGCATATAGTTAGTTTTAATACCGATTATAATTGCACAATTTACTGACAGGACACGATGTTCCCAACTAAGCCTTTTGGAGTAGATCAATTACAGTTATTTATGTTATAAATCCTGGATTAAATTAAATTAATCATAGTGATTAGTATATCTAAATTAGTTAAATAATTAAATTAATTAATAATAAATTAAATTTCAAAATTCAAAATTCTTTAAAGTTTTTTAGTTATTATTAGTTTGCTTTGCCAAAAGTTATATAGATTCAATTAATTGTTAAAAATTTCCGAAACTTTTAAATTGGCCATTTGCAAATCGCCAAACTGTACTGGGTATTCGGGATTCGGCACTGAGTAATTTCGTACAAGTCTAATTTTCTCCCTGACCACAGAACTACTTTCGCTGATATAATCATATTGTTGCTGCAATGTTTCACCTGGATCATTCCTATTCGCCAAATCATCTAGCCACGGCTTTTCAAAACAACCACCTAGTACAATTTACAAATATGATAATTATATATCTAAAAGAATTTTTAAAATTTACATATATAATGAAATTACATGCATTTTTAAGTTAAAATAAAAATTTTCTTATTATTTATTACCAACAAACATTCCAAGGTGATCATCAAATAAGCAGGGACTACTAGTTGCATTAATTGTAGAACTAGAAAGTGCGTATATGTTAATATTACTTGGTAACTTTGTAAACATTGCACCTTTATGTGTAAAAATAAAAATTATTATAAACAATTATTACAAAATTATCTATATAACCTACCCGCATAACACGTTTCCATATAAATCACCAACTTCGCATATTTCTTATTACGATGCATATAATTAAATGTTGCCATTAATTCATCTCGATACAATTTTTTGTCAATCAATTGGATAAAGCCTTTATTTAAAAAAGGTTTTGATACTAGTTAGTTTATGTTTAAAATCTAAATACAAATTTAATATAGCGACGCATACCTGATTCATCACCATGACCAAAATAATAAATAAACACGTGATCATTTGGACCGCTTTTCAATACTTTTTTGCCACGTTTTTCTAAATTTGAATCACCTTTCAACATCGACATAAATATCTAAAAATAATCAAATTTAATAATAAAATATTGTTTTAGAATTAGGATATAGTTTGTAATATAAAAACATGTATACCTGGGGGTCGACATCATCGCCGGTATAATCTTTAGGGACGTTGTGGTAGACATCCGTACCGTTCACCTCATTGATGACAACACCGGGGGTGGGGTTCATAGGATTGTACGCCATGTTGTCGTAATGCATG